CATAACGTGCCGGGCCAAGCTGGTCGTTGTTACTCGCAGCAGGCCCATTGCAGAGCTACTGCTGCACATAACATGCGTAAAATTACACGGTTACCAACAAGCTTGTCCTAACAACATGTCCTGATATGTTGCAAAAGCACGCACTTGCTGACTGTGTTGCAGGGCTCCTTTATGCTCTCCTGTTGTCCGGCATGCCCCGCTGGCCCTAGATGCGAAGATCACTTGATGAAGGATGCTACGTCGCTACGTGGTGTACGGTGGGCCCCTCGCCTAGGCGGCAAGCCCCCGCATCACCAAAGGAGGGTGATCCAAATCATCTATATACATGTGTGACCTGCGACCCCTCGCCTAGGCGGCAAGTCACGTTGTCACTCTACGATGTCCCTCTCAGGATCCGCGTCTCCAGAACAGGCAGGTCGGCTGTCCAGTGGCGTAGACGTGGTTCTGCCAATCATTGGAGAAACGTTGTCGCCAATTGATGGGCAGCATGTAGCACGAGCAGTCCAGGATGGCATCACTGACGATGGTGATCCACCTGTCCACCGCGGGGTGGCCCTGTTGGAACCTGCGGATGTAGACTGCGAAGGTCAGCCACGTTGTAGCAATTCTCTGCATTGTGCTGACCAGCTGTTGCGATGGCTCCCGTATGACTGGGTCACCAGTGTGAGCACGTCTGTCCCCGAAAATGGCAATGGCATCCAGGATCCGCTCGACCCCGCGCAGGGGCCTGTATCCGTTCGGTGCATCCATGATGAGGCCGAAGATGGACATTCTGGAGCCCACCAGGTGATAGTCCATCATCAGCGATGCGTTGACGATCCAGGGTGCATCCTCGGCGAACGCCAGGTAAGGGTAGTTGTGTGGTGGAACTTGGTGTATCTCGCGTGGAGGGATGGGGGGCAATGCTGGCAGTTGTTGGTGTATGGTGGCAACCCACTACGGCAAATTGTTGCCGTCGTTGAACCCCCCACGCCGCCGGAGGCATGGGTTGGGCGGCGCAGGACCGCCGTCGACCGAGATGGGCACGAGCGAATTGGTACGAGGCTGGAGGGGGCTTGCCTACCATCCTTCCGCGGTGCGCTGTTGCGGGAGCGGCCATGATGTTTTCTGTGGACATGGAACTCAGCAGCATGTTGGATCCAGACTGTCGGGTGACGACCTCAAAGCGCCTCGCCGCTTGGATGTAGTTCAGGATGATTCGAGGCCGCTGCTGTGTGTGTCGTAGGTATGATGCATGAACAGCTTCTGCAAAGGTGTTACCATGAACATTCTCACAATGTTCCCTGGTGCAATGTCCCCGTAAGAAGTTCCTACCAGGTGCAGTAAGAGGAACCCAAGAAAAATCGATGAAATCAGGATGGACACACTCACAATGAGGTCGCCGGCAACGTTGTCGAGAGCACACATCCGGGCACACTCGACAGTCCACGGTGAAGACTGCGGGGATGCCATCCGGAACGTGCTCCGGGATTTCACTGGTGATGCTGAGTGGGGGTATCACCATCTCGCCTGCCGTGATGCTCTGCCCGAAGAAGATGGCCCACTCACGCATTGTTGTGGCCGGCAGTTGGCTCCAAACCGGGTACGGCTCGATGTTGGGGTTCCGCTCGATGAACTGCTGATTAGCCATCGTTGTTGGTGTCCGAAGAGGAACCGATGTAGAGGACGGTGAGGTCACGGGCATGTTCAGGATGATGTCCTCAGCTCAGACTCGAGCTGTTGCTAAAACCCAAAACCAATGTTGTCCTCTTTCCACAAGATGGTGCACTTGCCGTAGAGCTGATGTGCCAAAGGTGACCCAGATATCACAGAAGGCCAGTCACGTGGCACAATGGCAGCACACGAATGAGACAGGAACTGATGTTCCAGGCAAGAGCACAAGCTGTAACCAAAATGGTGACGGTGCAGACACAAGCATGTAATCCGCACGCATTTGTGGTTACCAGCTTGGTGCTAGAGAAATTGTCATTACTGACGCAAGCGTAATACACTGCAGCTGATGTCGACTTCGCGCTCACGCAATGTGCTCATGGTTTCGTCACGGAATGTCGTCTCGAGGATCTGTCATTCTTTTACAGATGTCTTCTTTTATCGGTGATGTATGTATGTATGTATGTATGTATGTATGTATGTAATGTAGGTAGGTACGTACGTACGTACGTACGTACGTACGTATGTATGTATGTATGTATGTACGTATGTAAGTATGCCGGTTTTCCTAGACCTCATTGTACGCTTTTCTCAGAAAACGTACAATGAGGTCTACGAAAACCAAGCTTCTCCCGAAACGGACCGGTTTTCCCAGGCCGAAGTATAGGTTTTTCTCAGAAATCGTACACTTCGGCCTACGAAAACCAAGCTTCTCCGAAAACGTACTGGTTTTCCTAGGCCGAAGTGTAGGTTTTTCTCAGCAATCGTAGACTTCGGCGTACGAAAACCAAGCTTCTCCGAGGATGCTCTGCGCGGGACTGCTGGAGATATCTGGAGATATATACTTGAAGCGGTTTTTGTCTAGAGCTTGCATTCCAAGAATGCACACGCAGAGAGGTGAATCCCTTGACCTTCGACTATGTCAACAGAATGGGGCCGTAATGCTGTGGAAGATTTTGGAAACCTTTGCGTGGAAGGCCAACCGCGTCGACTGAAAACATTGGTATTCAGAGGATATTTCAGATTGCATGCGAATTCACCACCAACGGATCCAGCGGTAAAACCAGTCCTTTCGGCATTGCTTTGTACTGTAAGCATTCCGGACAAAAATGGGCAAAAACACCGAAAAAAAAACGAACGTCCCGCGATCGAGCGCTTTCGAGAGACATGTGCTTCTGCCGTGGTCAGCAGCTTTGCTTGCTGTCTCTCGGGTATAGGACTTTAATGGATGTTGCCTCAACCATTCGAACTAATTAAGATGACCCGCAGCAGGATGAAACTATGAAAGGGCCCTTCGGCCCAGAACGCCTCTTGACGCAACACTTAAACGTTGATTTGACGAAGTTATTTGGATACCTTAACCAAGCGTTCTCTATAGAGCTTCCAGTAGCCCACATGACGCACAGCGGGATGAAGCTACTGGAGGTCGCTGGCTGTTGCACGCCGTGCATTCTGATTTGACGCATGAAACAACATGTTGCAGCCGCGCCATAAGGGCTGCGGAAACTTTCAGTGTTGATTTGACACGGGCCGGCCGAACCATAAGCCCAAGCATGTTCCAGGAGTGCTCCTAGCCAAAATCCAAGCCTCCCAAACTACTCCGGTCCGCTTCAAACTAAGTTCAACGGCATTCCCAGGCCAATTCCAAAATTGTTGAGGTTAAATCCCGCCACTTTCAGACCTACTCCGAACCTCGGTGCAAACCGGAATCAACAGGAGAATGCAGGAGAGGCAACCAGATTCGCTTTCAGGTTTGGTTCGCTGTGAGTAGCATTTGGAAGGCCTTGGGATGGACATGTCTGTCTACTACTGCGCGCTTACCAGCACGCAACCGTGCATTGCATACCGTAATCGTTACTCCAAACTCTAAACCCTCAACGACCCCAAACCCTAATCCCTATATCAAGCTCTGAACACTGAACTACTCCAAACCCTGAAGAACCCCAAGCCCCTGAAGCCTTAGCCATCTCAAACCTCCCAACCCTAAACCCTACTAAATAAGCTCAAACCCTAAACCCTGAGCCATCCAAAACCCAAAGGAGATATGAATTGCTGAGCGGACTACCTATACTACTTGCACTACCACCAGCAACACCCCCAAATACGGTACGGTACCGCCCCCTCTGATACTGTTCTGAAACCAACGAGCGAGCCACCCTCATGTTCTTACGAGATCTGAAGAAATGAATTGCGAGGTGCCGCCCACCCTTATACTCTCCTGAAATTTGAAAATCCAAGAAGACAAGCCCAACGAGCGGGTGTGAAAGTGTCGAGTACCCAGTCAAGACCACGTTTCTGAAGCTTCAGGGTTGCCAGATCTGTGTCCCCACAAGCACATATGCACTGGAGTCAGCTGGCCGTAACATTTCTCTCATATTGGTAATGTTTAGCGGAAAGACCATCCAGCTCTGCAGGCCCAGCCCCTTGCGAGCAAGATTTCGCTGACAAAGCCCCAAGTCGTTCAAAAGGCGCATCAAGATGCCATTCCCTGTACTAATTTTTCAAGGAAGCCCATTGGACAAGTCCAGAAGTCTCAGCATCACACTGGGCGCCCGCAGGATGCGCATGTCACAAGCTGTGCCCGTGCCTGCCCTCGGCAAAGCAGATGCACAATCCCAAAGTAGCGGCAAGGACATATTCAACGCTCATACGTGTTTTGCTCTTGAGCCCGCCGCTGGCACATGCCTGACTATGCTTCAAAACAGTGGCACAAACTAATTACTGCAGTTGACGAACAAAATGCAACAAAATCCACGGCATCCATAGCTTTCAAGCCTTGATGTGGTATTTCAGTGAGGTGCCCAAGAAATTCTGGCCTCAGGCTTAGTCGCGCACACTCGACGTGACACGGGACGTCAGAGGTTGAGGTCCCGCACTGCAGATTGGACAGCATTGGCCTCAACACACATCTCGAAGTTTCCACACATTTTGCAGGGGCGCATCAACTGCAGTCTAGGTCTCCTGACCTCCTTTCGCTACAAATGCCATAGTTCATCCGGAAGATTCTACGGCCAAGGGCAGAATCACACAATCTGCATGTTTCCACAGCTTGGACCTACTGTACTGCCTTGGAACGGCTTGACAGCTCAAAAGCACAGGTGATTCGTTGTCCATGCATGCAACTCATGCTGCTGTAATCGGAGCTACGTAATGCAGCATGTTGCTGCTTCTTTGTCTACACTCCTGGCTTCGCGGATATGTTCTGCCGCTAAACTAGCAACTTGGCCGTCAAAACGGCATGGCACCACTTTTGGCTGAAGTTTTTGCAGCTGTAGGCACACCATAAGGCTGTCAGGCATTGGGCAGCCAGATGACGTGCAGTTTCGCAGGAGTTGCCTTCAAGCAACATCTCAGAACTTGCTTGGCTTTAGTTGCAGAATTCGCCAAATCTTCGGCCAAGTGTGAGAGGCACAGCAGCCAAGATCAACATAAGATGGAGCAACGTCTGTGCTCGCCTGATCAGTCTTCGACCGAAGAGCTTCCAAATTCCATGCATGCGAGTCCTCGTGGTACTCATACGCGGAGTCCACCAGGTAGTATGTGAAAGCATGAATGCACTCAGCACCCAGCAGGATAAGCATGCCATGCTCCAAGGAAACCACAACACCATATTTTGCATACATGGACATACACACAGTGACCAAATAGACACCTACCATAGCCACGTCCAGCATTGATAGCTTTCGCGCGACACGTGCGATAGCAATCCAATGGCAGCTTGGGGTCCGCTGGCCAATCTCTGACGTTGGATGCTCTGCATCTGCATATCGCCAACTGAGAGATGCATAGCCCTTGTCACTGGACAGGCGCAGAGCAGCGAGAACGAGTGAAAGCATGTCCAGAACAGTGCTACCCACCACACACCCCAATATAAGCGTCAAAGATATAAATGTGTTGGCTTCCCACTCATGCAAGCGGGCAAAGTAGTCTGCAACGCAAGAGATGATGCTCGTCTCCGACCTGAGTAAGTGCTTCAAATCCAAGATGTCGACGACCGTACGCGCTGACTCCGGAAGAGGACCATATGGTGGAAAGAGCTGCTTTGTCTCAATGTGAAAAGACATGCATGGAGAACAAAGCCCAACCACAAACAGTGGCACAAAACATAGCGCCAGCCTAAGCAGTCAAAATGTTAGGGCAGGGAGGAAGAAGCAAGGGGTATGGCTCCAAGATTTTGCTGCAAGCCAGGCGGCAGACTTACGCAAATGGCTAGCCCAGTTTCGCCCAAGCACCGCAATGCAAGAGGTGGCCGCGGAGCTGCTTTATCTCTGACCTCGGTGCTAGGGATGAGGGAGTCTCTACTTCAGCAGAAGTCTTTGACGGAAAACGTTGTGAAACCGGTTGTTTTTACGGTTGGCCTCTGGCAGCGGCACCCCGAGAGATGAAATGGTCGCTGTGACCACGAACGTGCTGAAACACGAGAAGCCGATCTCCAGCCTCTGCCATGCTTTTTGCTACGAGCATGCTTTTGGCATGTTTGGGTTGTTTTGGGTCAGGTTTTGAAACCTTTTGCCTGGCCCTGGACAGAATCAGCGGCTCTTGGTCAAGCGTGCGCACCAGATCCACCAAAAGTACGTATGCAAACCTCCAGTGTCAAGCTTGTCGATTGTCAGGAACAAATTACTCGGCTGCTACCATGCTTCCACAAACTATGGTTCACACTACTATACTGTCGCAAAAGATGCTATGAAACGAATATGGGACATGTCTGGAGATGCCCACTTGGATCGGTGCTGCACCCAAAGAATCACCCACCTGAAAACTTCAGCAAATCTCGCAGAAGCGAAGCGAAAGATTTCGCCAAACACTAGCATAATCAGCTCGAGGGCAGGGATGACCATGGAAAACAGGATGATGAAGAAAGCGCCAACTCTGGAGCCCGTCTTCCACAGAAGATGCGCCAGACCTGTTGTAGTCTCCGTGCAGACTGGATGGCCGGCTTCCGGCTCGACGTTCTTTCGGTGCCCGATGATGTTGATGACAATGCTGAAGCTGAAGACTGGATTTATCAGTCCAGGGATCAACAGCAAGTAGCTTGCGCAAAGTAGCAGTATGGCCCAGAAGTGTGGCCTTCCTTCCATTAAGGCACCTCGACATCTGCTATCGAGAATCCAACCAAGTCCAAGGGAGAGGCAAACTGATACAAGTATCAGCACTGCCAACCAGTTGATCTGCTGGGGTGAATCTCCACCAAGATGGGGTGGAACATCATAGTCAGGACGGTTGAGCCCTGAATACACTTCATGCATTCCTGCTGACACTGCATGCTCCACTTTCTCGAGCTGGGTTTCAAACGACATTGCGAAATTTGCGAAGTGAAACGGATTCGTCGCGCTGAGCCTCCACGCTATTGCACGCACGTGTCGTCGGGGATGGAGTACTTGCTATGGCCTTTTGGAAACGTGTCAAAAACATGATTCTTATCTGGGGCCCTGCTGACTAGGATTTCATACATCTGGTGGCATAGCCATTTCTACTGCTAGCCCCTGTGAAGAAGGCGGCACGCCAGTTGGTTGGCCATTTCTTGGCCATGTGTGACTGTTGTCGCTTCTATGAGAGAACTCTGAAACTACTTTCCAAGAGAACGCAAGTCACAACCCTTCGCCCACCCCAATCGCATTCAGGCAAAAATGCAAGAATCTACTGAAAACAACATATGTCCTCTGCCTCATCTAGAAAGTCTTGCTTGATTTGAGCCCCAGCGCAAGTCCAAAGGCCACCTCAATCCGCAAGTACACAGTTGCAGGATCTATCAATGCACATATCTCTTCGTTGTTCATCGAACTGCACCTGGCAATGTACAGAAAAAAGAAGGCAACTCAGTATCGACCCTCACAGCACTATGTAGATCCATGCCAAACTAAAACAGATGCAGTGAATGAAGCGACTTTAAAACCATCACACCAAAACCACATGAGATGACTCGAGCTAGGCAGGAGTAGGGGGCAAGTCGGACGACGATTAGCAGCGCAGCCTTCAGGTAGGTAGCCAACATGCCTCGAAGTGGTCAAGCAGAGGATTCGCCGCGACCATGATTGTGGTTTAGACTAGGGTCGTGCCGGGAACTGTCTGCCCATCAGGAAGATTGCATTCACTTCGTAGGTGTGTTGGGATCTGCTTGGAAGGTTGAGTAAGAGCATTTCACAGAAAGCGTGCTGCGATTCAGAGCTCTGGCCCTGGTGTCTGTGGCTTCTGCCTGGCCTTGACACTAAACATTATCTGGGCACTAGCCACACAAATTGAAAGGAAGGCGTGCCAAACATTCAAGATCACAAAGTGTTCAGTGTGGCGTCAGAAGTTCGCACTAATTACTAAGATACTAGTAGTGGCTTCGCAAACAGAATCACTGACGCCAAGTCACTGCCACGCAGAAGATGCTCACCCAAATCGAGGGCAGAAAGAAGGCAGGACTTGCCCCATGGCACTTCCTAGAAATGCCCAATGCCAAGTATGGCAGTCGCGCAAGTGTTTTTTTGCCTTTTGCTAAACCCGCTTTCGGAGGCGCCGCACTGGCCCGCCAAGTGCGGCATCTAGCCGGGCAGCAGCCTCTCCAACTTGGAAGGCTGGGCACGACATGCGCAACATGCAACAGCCTTCATCAAGCAGTCTGCCCAGCTCCGATGACCCTTGGACTGGCCTCACTCCGGTGCTTCTTCTTTTCCTGTGAACAGGACTGAAAAACAGACAGCCTCAAACGTTCTGGTCATGGCTTGTGTAAAACTTGCCAACGTGTGCCACTGCCTCCCCTGAGTAGAGGTCGTCCACCCAGGTCTTCACGTTCCTGTGGGACAAGCAGCAGCCTTCGCTACTGTTCTGCATAGCCTGAGCCATTAACATAGAAGATGCTACGAAGCCTCATACACCTGCGCTTTTTGTGCATAGCAAGTCCGGCAAGCTTGAATCCAATGACAAGCAGCATGAGCCCAAGACCCCTCACAGAGACTCGTCCAACAAAATTGCCGATTAAAGTTGCCGATTCTGCTTAGGATCACTTGATCCAACCTCCCTTGCAAGGCACCTGCTGCTGGGGTCAGCCATACTCGCCATGTCTGACCTCTGCTAAGGAGCGATAATTTGGCTATACTTCGCCCATCTATGAAAAAATCAATGGAACGTATTGGCAAACGTGCGGCTTGCAAACTACTGTTGACAGAGCCTGGACCTTGGTGCCAACCATGCCCTAGCCAACTTCCCTTGAGGTGCACTCGTTTTGCTTGCGTTGCGTATTTCTATGTCTTACCATGAAAGCCAAGGTGGGGCAGACACAAACACCGCATACCCAAGCCGCCATCAATCAACGGGGTTTGATTCATGTTGCTAAAGTTTGGCCTGGGTCAGAATCGATTCTTGATTTAGTTTAGAGCGTCCAGTGTCCCTTTTCAGAGTCCCGTCGTTTTACACCCTGACTAGAGTATTCAACGGGGCCCCGCTTTTCAGGGTCTACCATCGCTTTACCACAGATTGAGCTTCGTATATTATGATCTCATACGAGCGAGGAAGACTTCACCACCCATGTACGCATTCGAAGCAAATCCAGGATATTCTGCCGAGCATGGCATGCAGCCAGTTAGACGCATGTCAACTGAGGCTGGCACAGAGAAGGGCAGCCCCACCCCTGAGCGGGTCAAATTCTTCAATCAGCATTCACAAAAAAAGTGCAAAGCGAGCTTCTGCTGGGTTGAACATCGGCGAAGCGGACTGCAGTATAGCTTGTGCATACATACCAAGCACGAAGCTCTGCAACTAGAGGCCGTTGTAGTAAAAGGGGTGTGCTAAAGATGGCATGACCAAGAGCCCAGAAACTGGACCAAATGTTTCAAGAGCTATGCATCAAGCTCACGCTTGCACTTCTTTCTTTCGGCATTTGGTTGGGTGCTCTTCGAAAGCCAGCTTGGCCTTTTCCATTTGCTCTGCATTTGCGTTCATGCAGGTTGTGATTAGGGTTATGGTTCAGTATCCATCCAAACCCTGCGCACTGTGCTTCTCCTCCCAGAAGCACGTTGACATAGCAGACCATGTAGGCACTTTCTTGATCTGCTTCGTTTTTGCCACGCCATCCGTGAATTTTGCCTGGAGGTGCTTTTGTTGTTCTTTAAATGTATGTTGTGCCTAACATGCCATGATGGCGTTTGAAGCTTTTGAAGTGGTTTCAACCATGATAGCCGATGATAGCATTGAAGTGCGTCATTCATTGAACTGCTTTGCGTTCCTCGAACGCTCACTTTCCACAAAAAGATCAAGCTCCAGTTGCTTTGCGTTGTGGCTTTTGAAAGGAAGAAAAAGTTGAAAGCCTCACAAACAGGAGGCCAACACCGAAGGTGCGCTCCTCAGCTGTGCTATGCTCGTTGAGGGAGAGCTCTGCAGCTGGACGCGGCCGCAGAATCGGGAGAATGCGAAAAAGCGAGCGTTCAGAAAGTTCCGGTGTCTAATGAGCTATGCACGGCGTAAGCTGCAAAGCAATGTCAAAGATTGTGGGTGTGCCCCACAAATTCACAGCGTCGGAGACGCGAAAGGTAGGCACACCCCTTCAGTAAAACACTTGAAGAAATATCGTAACAAATCGCAAATCGACTATGGAGAACCAGGAAATACAACTCGGAACGAGACGCGAATGCTTGGGACGTTCTAGACATGTTCTCAGATTTTGAGGCTTCAGTTGATTCGAGATTCACTCTTCGTGGAGTCAGCAGCTCCAGCCTCAGCAACCACACTAGGATACACTAGGCAGGTTTAGGTGGGTGCCCTCTTTGAGAGTAGTCCAGGGCACTGCATGAGCACCCCCAAACATTCTCCAACACAACCGCAAATGCGTTGCAAGACTACTCCAAGACTCCAAGACTCCGACAAGCACTGCATTGAATGAGAAACGTGAAGCAGTTGCAAGGAGCAGTAGTCTTCAGCTGCATAGATGCTGTTCATAGCTTCCTATTTAGACGCCTTGTAGACACTCTGGTTGCCTGCCAAGGATCCACTTCGTCATGGTTTAGGGAATGTTCTGGCCGATCCGTAACGCTCGCCGTCGTGGTTTACACAATTTGGCACCACCTTGTGCCTTCAAGTCATCAGACTGCAGCTTTCAGAAGTTGAGCCTGGTCAATCCGGCAGAGCATTCATTTGCCTATGAATGTCAGCGGCGCATCCGACCATGGATACAAGACCCTCAGACATTATTCTTTCGTAGGCATCCGAACGTAAATTACAATAGAGGCTCGGGCGCCGAGCTTCAGGGTCAAGCTCTGATGATCGCTTTGTCAAGCCTTTCGCTCGCACGCCATCGTCAAACTCCACAACAAAAACCAAGATATCTCTGCAGATACCCTGCCCGAAACAGACTGCAGATTGACTCTCAAGGCTTTCAGCAGATGCGTCGACGCGTCCCGGCGCCCGTGAGAGAGTAGCGGCGGAGAGCGGGGTGAGGGCAAAGCCTGAAGCCGGGCTCCATACAACTCGTCGAGCAAAACCGGGCAGGTGGGCCATGGTGGAGAGATTCCATGGCTCATGGCTTCCTGGGTGGGTGCAAACGGTCTCTGGCGCTCTGCAATGCCCCCTGGCACACGAGAATGGAATCTTGGCCACGTGCCTCCAACTTCAACTCTGCTGCAGATGCATGCATGGCTGAGGGAAGCTCTCTTCTGACCAGCTTCTGTAGCCGTCTAAACGCCGGCCCGGATCTAATGTTGAGGGTTTCACGGCAATAGGCACCAGTCAGCTTTGGTTACAGTACAAGATGTCACAAGTGGATGGGCACGGACTCAGACTGCACTAGCTAAGGATAGAGCCAAAGTTTCCCACTTCGAGATGCCAGTCTCTGTGAGGAATCCCTTCGTCACCTTCATCAGCTCACGACCTAGCAATGGGATCAATGGATGATGACCTCTCCGACATTGGGCACGCATAGTCCAGGCGCTATGACAAAGCTGCAAAATGCTGTTGGTGCACTTCTCTCAGAAACCCTGTGGATTTTTGACCAGCACATTACTCAGTGAAAGAACCGGATTTTTGCCTGAGACAAACCAAAGCACCATGCGCCACGACCACGGCTCTTCCGCGTGGATGCGGCAGGCGCCCTGTCCGACCGGCCTCGGACTGCCCGAGATACGCTCACATCCAAGGCATAGGAGCAAAACCTTCGAAGTCCTTTTCTCCGGCAGATGACAAGCCACGCTGCGAGGGCATCCCAGAGGAAGATACGTGTTCATTCGGCGCTACGTGTGCATCATGGAGCCTTGTGCGGCTTCGCAGGAAGGCCACGCGGCATTGGGCATAAATGTTTCTCATAATAGTTTGAGCCCGTGCAAGATGTTCAAAGCTCAGGATGCACCGAATGTCGAAATCATTGGCGGCAACCGGATTGCCCTTCATATACTGCGTGGAGACTGGTGAGGGCTTTGCTCACCATCTCCACAACCCTATGCGATGAGCGGCAGGCTGTTGGTTTCCACCTAGCTACTCTGTATGTTCATCTGCTCGAGGCGGAGTCACATATCCGTGCTGATGCGCAGCACCGGCACCGCCAGATACAGCTGAACTTCAGCCTTTGCATTATCACAAGGCCTGCGCGGCCAGGATCTTGCAAGTTTACGTGGCTGACGACTCAAGCGCCTCAGCCGAAGCTATGACATACTGAACCCAGGCTCAGGAGGCTCGATCATCCTCGGATCGTCAGTTATGCTGATCCCCGACATGTAGACGTCACCTCAGGCATGCAGCGCCGGGCTGACTTGATTGAAAAGCATTTGCTGGGGTTAGTCAAGTAAAATATGCATGGAGCTCGAAACAGGGAGCAGAGCCCGTGCAAAGTCGAACGATTGGAATCAGAGGTCTGCTTGTATCTGCTTTCTCAAACTTGAAGCTCGCGAATTTCCTTCATCATCGTATCATGCAATCACGAGCGTGCGGTGTGGCAGAAAGATGTTGGCAAGGCGAACAGATTGTGAATTCTTGTTAAGTCAATCGTATCTTTAACGTGTGCGAGCAGGTTTATACTGTTAGCATGAGAGCCAGGTACAGCCCACCAGGCCTGTGCCGAATGTTATTGATGCCTACAGGCCGAGTAGGGTGACCCATCCAGGTTCCGTGATGCCAACTGCAGGCCCTCCATCTGAAGCATTTGAAGTTCATACACGCTTGTGCCATTGTAGCTCGTTGCCCTGGGACAATGAGGAATGAGGAAATACTTGTGCATGCTACATGCACCCGGTGATCGCTCGCTCTCTCTCTTCTTCTTCTTCTATAGGCCTCTTTCTTTCTTTTGTTTGGGCTATGGAGTGATCGAGAGATCACCCCGGGCTTCAATGCCCAGCCCCTGTAGGGCTGCTCTCTCTGTCTTTCTTTCTTTCTCTCGTTCAGGCTATGGAGGTGGGATGTCTCCCCCCTCCGGGCTTCACCGCCCAGCCCGTGTTGGGCAGACTGATTAGTACACCCCTCGTTGTTTCGGAGTGGGGGCAGGAAACCATGGACCTATAAGACTTGCAGGACCCTTGAGGTAAGTGTGCTCCCCAGGCTCCAAAACTGCGTTTGGCAGGTCGTATCCCTGCAGGTGAAAACCGCCAGCACCGTCCCTGGGTGAAGGAAACTTGCGCAACTTGCAATAGAGGTGGCAGTGAAATGCTTGGGTTAGTTTGGGTGGTGACTGGCTTGCAGACTGTGTTTGCCTTGTGGTTGCTTCCAAGGAACATTGCACAACAATAGCTTTGACAAGACATCACTGTTGGGGGTAACTGTGAACCAACACCATAGAAATTGTTCTTCATCATGTTCCTTTGCAACGCACTTGCAAGGCTTGTCTCAAAACACATGGGTCTATGACTGAGGCGTGCATAGCTGTTGTTTTGTATTATTAGTGCCAAGTCAGCAATTCCTGGATGTTGCCACCATCATTTATGGGGTTAACTGTGAAGCAACACTTGAAAGACCGCAACTAGTCCTCTCTTTGGGTGGCTTCAGGCTACGCAGCTATGGCACGGCTCGGACTGTTTCTTCTTGGAAGGAGTTTGCACCATGTGATTGGAGTTGCCTTGGGGGAAAAATTGCCGGAGAGGCCTTCTACTTCTATATTGCTGTTACTATCACATGGTGGCCTAAGTTGGCTACATTTGCTTTTGGGTGAAATTCCTTCTCAGTAGATCAAGTCGTAGCTCTCAGTTGTTGGGTCGGCGTTCGTTGTTGGTCTTGCCTTGGTCGGTGGCGTTGCCCTGCTCATCTGTGTCGGCCTCCATGTTGTTCAGCAGCTCATCCTCTACGGTGTCCAGGTCTGGCTGCGTCATCTGTGGTGGCTCGAGATGTGGCGGAGCCTCAAAGATGTCGTTGTCGTGCGGTGGCGTGCGGCTTCGGTCCCTTTGTATCTCAAAAAAGGAGGGCGCCAGACAGAAGTCTGACCCTGAGTCACACGCACGAAGCTGGACTCAGGGCTTTTAACGCCCTTAGTGGCTTTGGCAGGAGGCAAGCAAAAAAAAGCCACCACCCCTGTAGGCTAGTAAGGCTTACGTGGGGGGGAGAATGGAGGCTTTTCTTTGCTGCCTCCCGGACATCAGGAAGCCACTTACGACCTGACGTCTGAACTAATTTAGGGTTTAGGGTACACGCGGGGCTTTCCCCGGGCGCGGCCGCAGCCATCAGCTCGAGCCCGAGGCTTGAGCCAAAATGGTTCTTTCTTTCTTTCTTTCTTTCTTTCGTGCGGGCTATTTTTGGCTCTCTCTGTCTCTCTTCTTCTTCTTCGGGCTATACCCGCCCCCATGGGCGGGTCAGGGCACTGCCCGAGCCCTCGCGGTTCTGTCTGGTCGGGACCGGCGAGTACCCAGAAAGAACATTCAGAGGACCATTTATCCTAATTCCCACATGCCCCTAGTGCATTTCTGGTCCTCCGATTGTTCAGTCCTCTCCTGCAGCCGGCTGTGAGACTGACCTTTTGCTCCGCCACACATGCACTCAGGTAAACTCATATACCAGCAACAGCAACACAGCCCTAAGGGTACAAGCTAGCTCATGCACTCTGTGTTGTGGTGCAGCCAGGAGGTGTTGCACACCTCCTCAGTGGGTCGTTGTCGACCCCGGCTTTCTGCTCTACTGGCAGACATCCGAAGTACGGCAGCTTCTAGCGCAGTCCATGGCCACAACTTGTTTGGAGAAAGTATACCCACATGCAAAGAAACCCCTCTAGTCTTGTTGCCAACTACCACACTCGGTTATCACGGCCTCTGCTGGAAATGATCTAGCTACAAAGCGCCTAACTACCATCTGGAGACATCCTCGGGGTAACTGCGGAACCAAAGTTAACTACTTTTGGGCTGCACTCCCCCGTGGTGCTTGTTGACTTTTGTTCTTTCTTCTTTCGAGGGACCGCCCCTGGCAGCTATCTTTTGGCTTCCACGCCGTTGGAGGATTTGTCTCACAGATGTGAAAGTATGCTGGGTTCTGCCCTCTCTGTTACACTAGCTGAGGGAGTCCCCGCGGCAGGTTTCCAGCAAGGTTTTCACCTTCGGCAGACGGGTGAGAAAGCGTACCGTGGTGCTGCGTGTTGAACCTTCATGCACTCCCTACACACCTACCCGGCTACACTGCACCTACCGTCGTGTCTTGCAAGCACCTTCCGGCTTGAAATGAGCCGCCGCCCCTGGTGCGAAAGCGTGCAAAAAGGTTTTCGCTGGGACTGTTGCAAAGGTAGAGCTGCCAAGAAGACAAAGAATTGGATACACCACATAGCCGTGCATCAAGGTCTGCTATAAACATGCCCAAGCTCACCCACCTAGCCGGCACCTCTGGCCATTGGCCACGCTCATGGTGCGAAAGCGTTCCAAGCAACAAATGGGGCCAAATGATGAACCTAACAGCGAACTTGCAGGAGGCTTATCCTATATACAACAGGAGTAGAGGGAAACAATGTCTCCATCATGTTGCTTGTGCATGCCACAACCGAAAAGCCGGGGGACTTCTACTCACGGACTCACGGACTTGTGCAGCTGTTCATGCCTGAACCCTGGATGCCTATGGCCCACGGAAGTAGGGGGAACAATGTCAACCAACTAGGAGCCCTTAGCGCAAGACCACTCATGGTGTGCTGGCAGCACACCTCCAGTTGAGGCAGGCAACTTTTGCCCAGTCATTTATTCAGTAGCTGTCGTGGCAGGAGGTCACAGGTCGCCAAGCCTCTAGTCTCGCCGTTGTTCTTCAGGTTTCCTCGCTGTCCTCCTCGTCCATGGCCGTTGCCGCACGGCCGTCTCCGCTGCTTTCTAGCTCCTCCCTTTGCCATGCTTCGTAGGCCTCTATCGCTAGCTGCTCCTCGTACGCTTCGTGCATGGCAATGTCCCTCATTTCTTCTTCTTTCTCTATTTCCTCAGATTGGCGTCTGCATTCGTCTGCCTCCTCGTCCTGCTGCTCCTGTCGCCATGCTTCCTCGTCCTGCTGCTCCTGTCGCCATGCTTCCTCCGCCTCCTGGTGGCTCGCGCTCTTCCTTGTGCTCGCCCACTTCTTTCTCCTCCGCTTCTGCCGGTCTTCCATCGGCTGCCTTGTCCGTGGTCTTCTGCTCCTCTCTCTGCGGCTTTTTGGCCGACTTTGGGTCTGCTGCCCTCACTGCGGCGCTCCCCCTCACCTTGCCCGTCCAGGCCCCGCTTGCGCAGGTTGATGCGGAGTTCAAGTAGGGCTGGCGGTGGTATATCTTCCGCCACTCCTGCGTACACCGCCGCCACATACTGTGCGTTTCTCTGCAGCACCTCCGCGCTGAGGGAGCCGACTAGCAACTCCACTATGGCCCACCTGCCTTGCTCGCCGAACTCTTTCCAGCCTTCTCGCAGTCCTAGGAGCTGATGCCTAATATACGCTGTGTCGGGGTCGTCCAAGTCTCTGCTACTAGTGGCCCCCATTGGGTCTCCCACTGCCTTGGCCCATGCCTGCATCAACGTTTGCTGTCTCCCTGCTCCTCGGTCACTTTTGTGCCCCTGCCTCATTTCACGAAGCTGGCGCAGTGCCTGTTGAGCTACTTTGCACTCATCTCTGCTCGTCATACTGCCCAGGATTTGCTCCAGGATGCCGGTGTCCGTGTCCTCGCTCCAATTCTCCAGCAGTGATTGCATCAGCGGAGAGGCGCCCCCGCTGAACTCGTTTTGCATCGCCCTGGCTATACTCTGCGCAACGCTCCGGTCTTGCACAGGCTTCCCTCCTCGCAGCTGCAGAAGGATCGCTGCGATTTTTGCCTTAACCTGGCGCGGCGAGGCGCTGTACCATCTTCTGATCGCCGGCCTCAGCTCCGACAGCGTGGACAGCGTCTCCCGTGCTGCCTGAGACCTGCTGGTTCCTCACCCAGCAGGGCAAGGAGTGTCAGCGCCGGCTCCGCATTCATTTGCTCGCTTAGCGTTTCTCGTGCTATTTGCACTAGGCGTGCTCTGTCTTCGGCGTGGAGTGGTACGGTCTCCTTCCCATCTCGGGCCTCTCCATCCTTGCCGGCTTGGTTCTTGGGTCTTTGCATGAGCGCGTTCTCTTCCGCCTCTTCCCTCTCTGGTGCCTCCTCACACTCATCTTCCACTCGCACCTCCTCCTCCATGTCTTCATTGGCCACGCCTTCTTCTCCAGGGTTAGGATCCATGGTTGCCTTTTGCCTCTGCTTACGTATGTCGAGCGCGTCCTGGATGATGTTCCCTAAGGCTGGATGCCACGCAACACGCGCGGGAGGTTGATGGACATGCGGATGATCCCCTCTATCGT